CTGTTTTTATGACAGTACCATACTGTTTTGGTTATTATAGCTTTGTAGTATAGTTTAAAGTCCGTTAGTGTTATGCCTCCAGCTCTTTTTTTTTTTTTTTTTTTGCTCAGAATTGCTTTGGCTATGCATGGCATTTTGTTATTCCATATAGGTGTCTGGATAGTTCTTTCCATTTCTGTGAAAAATGTTCTTGGAATTTTGATGGGGATTGCATCAAATTTGTATATCGCTTTGGGAAATATGGACATTTTTACAATGTTGTTTCTTCCAATCCAAGAGCATAGGATATCTTTCCATCTTCTTGTGTCCTTTTAATTTATCTCAGCAGTGGTTTGTAGTTCTCATTGAAGAGATTTTTCACATCCTTGGTTAACTCTATTCCTAAGTATTTTATTTTTTTGGTGGCTATTGTAAATGGGCAAGCTTTTTTGATTTCTCTTTCTGCATGTTCACTATTGGAGAATAGAAATGCTACTGATTTTTTTTTGTTGATTTTGTATCCTGCAACTTTGCTGAAATCATTTATCAACTCCAAGAGTTTTTTTTTTTTTTTTGTAGAGGCTTTAGGCTGTTTGATATATAGTATCATGTCACCTGTAAACAGGGACACTTTGACTTCATCTTTTCCAATCTGGATGCCCTTTATTTCCTTCTCTTCTCTGATTGCTCTGGCTGGGAATAAACCCAGAGGGATGGAAATCATCAAGTCGAAGGTACACCTGTTCTCCAATGTTCATTGCAGCACCATTTACAATAGCTAAGAGTTGTAACCAGCCCAATTGTCCATCATCAGATGAGTGGATACCGAAAATGTGGTATATCTACACAATGGAATACTACTCTGCTATAGAAAAGAATGAAATACTGCCATTTGCAACAACATGGATGGACCTTGAGAGTATTATATTAAGTGAAACGAGTCAGGCAGAGAAAAAGAAATATCATATGTTCTCACTTATTTGTGGGAGCTTAAAATAAATAAATAAATACACAAATAAACTGGGGGAGGGAGGGAAGAAGACACAACAATTACAATTCCTTAAAGTTGATATAACAAGTGAACAGATATGAGGTTGTTGGGAGGGAGGGGGAGAGGGAGGAGGGAGGGAGGTGTCGGTAATGGGCCACAATAATCAACCACATTGTATATTGACAAAATAAAATAAAATGTAAAAAAAAAAAAAAGAAAACAAATGACTAAAAAATGGGCAAAGAACCTGGATACACATTTCTCAAAAGAAAACATACAAATGGCCAACAGGTAAATAAAAAGAAATGCTCAACATCAGTAATCATCAGAGAAATGCAAATCAAAACTGTAATGAGATATCATTTTACAACTTAACGAGAGTTAAGTGTTGGTGAAGATGTAGAGAAAAGGTGGGAATGTAAACTAGTAAAGTCGTTATGGAAAATAATATAGAGGTTCCTCAAAAAATTACAAATAGAACAACCATATGACCTACCAATTCCCTTACCAGGTGTATATCAAAAGGAAATGAAATCAGTTAAAGAGAGATCTGCCTGCCCATGTTCATTTCAGCATTATTCACAGTAACCAAGATATGGATCAATGCAAGTATCCATCAATAAATGAATGGATAAAGAAAATGTAGTATATAAACACAAATTAATACTATCAGCCTCAAAAAAAGAAGGAATCCTGTCATTTGCGACAACGTGGATGAACCTGGAGGACATTGGGTTAAGTGAAGTAAGCCAGGCACATAAAGACAAATACCACACAATCTCACTTACATGTGGAATCTACAAAAGTCGAATCCATAAAAGTAGAGAGTAGAATGGTGGTTATCAGGGGATGGGGAGTTGGAGGGGTTGTGAAGATATTGGTGAAAGGATACAAAATTTCAGTTAGATAATGGGAATAAGTTTAAGAGATCTATTGCACAACACATGGTGACTATGATTAATAACTATGTATTGTATTTTGAAAATTGCTAAAAGAATATATTTTAAGTGTTCTCAACACAAAAATGATGTGTTAGGTAATGCATATATTAATTAGCTCAATTGAGCCATTACACAATGTTCATACATTTCAAAATATCATGTTGAACACAAATATACACAATTTTTATTGGTCAATTAAAAAAATTTAACATTCCATGCAGTACTTTGAATGAATCATTTCCCCATGCACAATTTTGGTTACATTATGTATTGGTCATTTTGAAAATATTAGTTCACTGAATTATGCAGATTTTCTAAATATTCACACATTTTATTATATAATATTAAAAAAATCACTTTAGCTAATATCACCATGAATCCCATTAGAAAAGTACTCAAATATTGGAAAGCTATCAAGCTCATGGTTGCAGACATACATCTTCCAAAATTCTAATTATTCCTTGAAAGCTCAAATTTTTTCATTAGCAACAAATGCTGTCAGTTGTTTTTCTTGAAGTGAAAAGCTCCCTACATTCTTTTTGAGAAATGCTTGCCAACTCAAACATGAATAACCATTAACAAGTTTATCAGTCATTCTTTAAAGTAAAAATGATGTTCCATGTAAAAAAAAAAAGCAGCTAGTTCAGCTGGGAACTCAGTCACTTAGGTCCTAAGGCAACCTTGGTATGCAGCAGAGATTGCTGATGTGTACTTCCCACCTGTCACACAGAATATTAAAAAGCTACGCACTTGAAGGTCAAGATTAGCAATTTTTACAGCTTCATCAAGCACATTCTCATGTGAAAGTGTATTTTCCCCCTTCTTCACTGTGAGCATATGGTGGTGAAGAATACAGTGATTATCAGTAAAGTTTAGTACTACTGCCTTGATTCATGGTAAGGCACCAGCAGTTTTCCCACTATTGCTTTTATACTATCAGTGTAAAAGTCAACGGAGTGAAAAAAGGAAATAACGTTTTAGTGTATTATGAAAATAGCATTGACCTTGTAGACTCCCTGAAAGGATCTCAGGGACCCTCAGGGGTCCATGGTTCACACTTTGAGAACTACTAAGTACCCCAGGTACTTAGCATAGTGCCTTGTGCACAGGAGTTATTTCAGTACTTGGTTTCTGAGTAAATATTCAATTATAGATTGGATTTAGAAAGTTTTCTTTGACTTAGCATCCAACCGGGCTTTTTGCATGAAGTTATAGAACAGAGATCTAAATTAAAATGATTCGGAAAACAGAACCTCAAAGCCCAGCATTGTAACTATTCAAAGCTGCTCCAAACTTAACTCTCCCCTAACAACAAAACTGACTTCTTTTTCAGTGGTTTACTGAATGGACAGGGCTGGGTGTCTCAAAATTTGGGGAGTGAGCTGTGCCGGGCTGCTGGGCATGACCTGGTGACTCGCCAGAAACCGCTTGGCTTGGCCAGGGTTGTGGCTGTGGTTAGACTGATTTAGAATTAGTTATATTGGGAGCAGCATGATAATCTTGTTTTTCTTCTTGTTGTGTGCCATGTGGAATTTATCTAAGTTCTGAGTTCCCATCAAATTGGCAAGGAAGTGAGGGGTAGGGGTCAACCAGCACCCATGCTCTCTACTTGGCTACGCAAGAACCTCTTAGCTTGATTCCTCTCTGAGGTATGTAAAAAACATCCTTTTGAAACTTCTAAGGGACAAATTCCCTCCCTCTGTCTCTCTTCTGAAGATATTTGAGAACGGATTTTAATGGGGGGTCTTGTGAGTAGCAGCACATAAAACCATGGGAGAATATTTGCACATAGCCCACTGTTAACCTTGATCATAACCCTTCCCATGTTTAGTCACATTCCCCAAAACAGCTAAGTAGCTAAGTGGCTAGTCTATGATTTTGCTCTAAAGTTAAACTAGACACCAGTGATGACAGGAGAAATAGTTTTCCTCTCCTTTCATAGGCTTCCATATATACAAGCTCCACATAAGCACATTGCTGTCTTACAGAATTCCAAAACGCCATTTTACTGATTAGATCAGTTTTCCTCAAATAAGAAATTATGGAGCATATAGCATGGGCATGAGGTGTTAGGTCAAAAGGAAGCCTAATTATAAATGAGAGAGGGGTTGTTGAAATAGAAAGAAGAAAAGTCAAAGTGTAAGATGTAGTGGTATCTTACCATTTTCCATTGAGTTTCATTTACTTCTTTGTACTGAAGTTCATACTCCAGAACTATCCATCCCTTCTGAACATCTGCATTGGGTGGTGGTTCCCATCTCACTTGGATATCTGCATAAATCCCGGTTAAACTGATGTTCAGTAAAGTCCAGTTGAGGCCAGTGGGTGGATCTGGTTGCACTGTGCGATTCAACAGAATTAGTACACAGAGAGACCCAGCTTGATATTAATGGAGTACTTTTTTTTGAAGAGACTAAATTACTTTATATATTTTGGTCGTTCATACTCGTAATTCTTCCAATATTCCTGTTGTTATAACCAATTTTATAAGTACCATTTTTTACTTAAGAATGATCTGTTTTTAACTTTAAATAAAGCCTTGTAAAAATTCATTTTTGAGTCTCAAATCTGATGTATAAGATCTATAACTTTTTTTTGAAGATCTGCCATGTTTTGCTTTTTTTTTTTTAGCTCTGATAGTGTTAATGCTTTGGTATTTTGGCAAAGGAATTTATTTTAAGTCAAAACTGAAGGAACAGTCAGAAAGACCTAGAGTATTTAAACAAAGGGCTGATTTGGAGGTAGGGGTAGAGGAATCTGTTTTTTTCTAAGCTTTGAACTGGGGACAGGGACCTTGTCTTCCTCATTTCTGCACTACTACCAGCATAATCCTTTTGAACACTCTGCAAATGCTCCTTAGTTTTGTTGTTTTCCTAGCCACATGTGCTCATTTCTTCAGACAAAAAGGAAGACATTACACTGCTCTCTCAAGTGGTGACAATCCAATATTTTCTGTCTTTTACTAAACTGCCATGTGAACAACTTAAAATAGTGTTTTTGCTCAGTTTCTACTGATATACTCTACATTCTCAGGTAGATCTGTTATGTTCTGCTTATTAGGACTGCAAAGATCACAATTTCCCAAAGGTTGATGAAGACAAACATGGATTCCCAAACTAGGAACTATATCTAAATTATATTCTAGATAGTCCCAAGTAAATTATTTTTAGTTAGGTCTTATTACGGAGGGTTTTGAAAATCATTTGCAGATACAGAGTAAAATTTACTTTCTTTTTGCTATATGTAGAAGGCCAGCTAGAGTGTTGCAAAGTCTGGATTCCTGGTGTCGATCAGAGATAAGCCTACGAGATATATGCTGTGAGGAGCTCTTACTGGCTGTCAAACCTTGTGGCTAACAGGGAAGGTCTTGTATTGACCTGGCATAGAAACAGACCTTACGATGGAGGAAGTCGATCAGAGATAAGCCTACGAGATATATGCTGTGAGGAGCTCTTACTGGCTGTCAAACCTGTGGCTAACAGGGAAGGTCTTGTATTGACCTGGCATAGAAACAGACCTTACGATGGAGGAACATGCTGCTGGCCAATGTGGAGAAGACACCACTTTTTTAAAAGTAGGGACAATTCAAATTAGACTAGTCATGACTACATTTTGGAAATTAAATTGGGAGGATGTCCAAACTACATCTGCACACACAATTGCAGTAATACCTCACACTTTTGGATTTGTTGGGGATTGAGGAATCCTAATAACTGAAACTTAACCCTTTAAATAACCAAACTATAAAAATATTTTTGATTTATAATTTTCTAAAACTTATGATGTATCTTAAAATTTCCTATTTCATTTTCAATAGAGGATGTGGGACAGGGTCCTTTTGGAGAAGGCTTAGTACCACTGTTATGAACATATAACAACCTTTCCCTTACCCCTACCCAGACATTCACATACCATACTTGACAACTCCTCAGAGATACTTAAAAAGTACCTGAGGCTTAACATATCCAAAAACAAGCCCATGGTCTTCCTCTCCAGAGCCTGCTCCTCTTTCATCTTCCCTATCTCTGTTAATGGTGACTTGATCCCTCTGGTTGCTTAGGATAAAATCGGTGAACTCTTCCTTGACTCATCTTTTTCTCACCACCCCACATTCTGTCAGCTGCATTTTCAAGATATATCCAGAATCCAACCACTTCTCACAGCCTGCACTTCTGTAACCTGGTTCTAACCATTACCAGTATTCACCCATATGGCCTCCTCAATGTTCTCCTCCTTTGGCCTTACAGCCTTTGTCTCCCTTCAGTCTATTCTTCATACAATCCTCAATGGAGTTGACATAGTGATTATCTTAACACTTAAGCGAGATCATATCACTCATTTAAAACTCTCCAAAGTCTTCCTCTTCCACTGCAAGTTGAAGCTAATGTTGGCAACTGTGGAGAAGGCACCACTTTTTAAAAATAGGGAGAGTGGAAATTAGACTAATTACACTAAGCCATTACAGCAGCTTGACAGGTACTGTAGATTTGATTCTCTCATCTCTCGGACCTGATCTCCTACCACCCTCCTCCTGGCTCACTCTGCACCAGCTCCACTTGCTGTCCCCTGAGTGAGAAAAGACAGGCCCCACTTCAGGACCTTTAACCTTGCTGTGCTCTCTTGCTGAAATTCCCTTTTCCCTTTTACATGGATCATTGTCTCATTTCCTTCTTTACTCAAATGTCACTGCCTCAGGGGAGCCAACCCTGATAACCTTACTTAAAGTTGAAACCTCTCTAACACTCCTATTCTCCTACCCCATGTCTCTCCATAACATAGTTTTTTTCCGACTGCACTGGAATTAAATCCCCGAGAGCAGACATTTTCTGCTGTATCATGTAGAACACTGCCTGGACCAAGGAAAGGACACAATATACATTTTCTGAATAAACTGAGTGAAAGACAAATTTAATATATTACTTTAAATCTAGAGACTCGTCCTGCGAGGTAGTAGAACACATACATAACACATGAGGAAACGGAAGCTTGTAGTCATTGACATCCTTATTAAGATGTACTTCAGTTACCTCAGTCCTTTGTTCTCTCTCACTCTCAGCTTGCCTCCAACCCCTGCTATTGTAATTTGTCATCATCTTTTTCCTTGATTATCACAAAGTCTTCAATCTAGTCTGTCCTACTCCAATCTACCTTCCACAGACCCCAAAATTAATTTCTCTGAGACAACGATAGACTCGAGGTTAAGTGCAAGGACTCTGGAGCTATGCTGCCTAGGTTGAAATCCCAGCTCTACTTACTAGCTGTTTGACCTTGACCTAGTCATTTAATTGCTTTGAGCCTCAGTTTCATCATCTGTAAAATGGAGATTATAATAGAACCTATTTTACATGATTATTACACCTGACAGATGGTAAGTCCTTTGTGAGTGTTAGCTGTTACTGTCCTTAGGTTATTTCCCTGCAAAAACACCTGCAGACGTACCTCTTGACAGTAAGATAAAGCCCAATTCTTTTGTAGGGCACACAAGAGCACTGAGGATTTCTCCAGAGTCCTTGACAATTGTGTGCTGTTTGTCACTTTGGGAACTTAGTTGCTAGAAGGCACAGTCAATTGTGATACCCGGCAACTCTCATTCATGCTTTAAGAGGTAAGTCAACTGTTACCATCTCTGTGCAGCCCTTCCTTGTCCCTCAGGCCCAGTCAAGCATTCAAGCCTTTGGCCACCACCTCATTTGCTATGTACTCCACACATCTCAAGTCCAGCACCCACTACACTGTCCTGCAATTATCTGTGAACGTGCCTGAGTGCCCTACTTGTCTGTATCTTACTCATCTTGTAGGCTACCACACCCAGCACACGTGGCAGGCACTCAGTGCAAATCAGCCAGGTAGATGAGAAGGAAAGGCTATTGGCAGGCACAGGGTTAGAACACAGGGCTTAACCCAGTATTCTCACTGCTACCCCATTCTACTACCCCATAGAGTTTCAGCTAAAGCAGCCACACCCACTGATGTTAGGCATATACTAAACAGTCTCTTCAAACTATGCCATTGAATTATCTTTTATGCTTGTCACAGTTTTCTCAATCTTCTCCCTCAGAGCCAGGCAAGCAGATTTTACTTGTTTCTGTCTGTAGCTTCTAGCCACATTCTCCTTTCTCTTCCAGTCTGCTGATGCCTAGGAAACCACATATAAGAATGGCACATCTTGGAGAAATGACAAGGAATTCCTATAAGCAACAATTGAGATATGGTGGCTAGATTTTGAGGCACCAAGGTCAGCTACCAAATGTCCTTCTTTGATTCTTTCTATTTTGCTGTTTATAGTATTATAATATAAACATGAACATTCCAATTACAGTTGTTTGTTTTGCTTTGTTTTGTTTCCCCCTTGTGTTCACGTGATGAACAAAGGGTCATCTGTTTGAATCTTTCACTTAGTTCACTCAGCTGATTATCTCCACTGTTTATTTTGAGATCTTATAAACATGTCTTTAAACAGACTGTGGCTGTTTTATAAATGTAAAATTCCAGAATTATTATGCTTTGTGATAAAGAAAATCTAGGCTTTGATTATAGCAATGATAGAGATCAAAGGCCAACATATTTCAGTAGATCTGAATATAACCATCATATTGAACAACTAGGAAAGAAGGAATCTTAAGAGTACATTGAGTTGCACAAAAGAATGCAATCCAGGCTTAAAGATCTCCTAAAGGAAAAGACTCCACAAGGCTTCCATTCTTTTCTTCACAACATTTACTGCCAGGCTGTTTTATGTTAGAGTCAACTTAAGTTCCCCTTGCCCTCTTTCTCTTGTCCACCAGCTGATCCCATCTCTTGTAAAACAGACATCCATGTACCTATAGAGCACTTTTAGAAAGTCTTCTTACTTGACTATACTTGGACTTGCTGGCTTCCCCACTTTAGTCTAAAGCTACGTCAGTTAAAACACAAAGCTGAGATTTACCTATTTCCTCAACAGAGAAACACTTTTGATCCACCATACCACCATTTTCAGTTAGCTTGATACAGTAGGGTGTCCAAATCGAGGTATAGGATGAATTAAAGTAACAGCTGTTTTCTCCGGCAGAGACATAATCTGGGCATTCTTTCCATTCTTGAGTCCATTCTTGAGTGCTCCTGAAATGGAGGGTAAAAAAGGATTAATCATCCCAACAGTCACACCATATATAACTGAGTGTCAACCACCTTAGGTGAGGCGGTTGACAGTCAGATTCAATAAATTGGAACACAAATGTTTTGTGAAGAAGCATTTTAGCAACACCATTTACAAGAAGTATCACATCTGTGGACAATATCATTAGTGTCTGAAGACTTCCAGGGGGCCATGTGCTATTTTTGCATCTGTTTATTGACTGCATATGCTATGCCAGCCAGCTATCAAGTAAAGCAATTCCTATGGTAGGTCCTTCATTATCCTCATTCTACAGATAAAGTTTTGAAGCTCAGGGGGTTTAAAAATGTTCCCTTATTGAAACAGCACAGTCAACCCCCAAACTATACAGATTCCCAGAAAATAGTGAATCTTTGGCCCTAGGTGTTTCTCCAACTCATGGTGGAAGAAACTGAGGAGGCGTGCTGTTGGTGAGCTCCAGTCTGAGTGACACTGAAGTTTGTGTGGCCTTGTGGTGGGAAATTGACTACACACTACTTTGAACCATCTTCCCAAGGCTTTCCTATGCTTGGGAGAGTCTTCCCAATGCCTTGAACTCTTCCCATACTCCTGAACTTTTCCTTAATTACATGGAGGATCATAAGAATATTCCAAACAGGCTGGATATACAGGTGGCGTTTATGAAGCATAGGAGCTCTAGCCTTTTCCTCTTTACCCCTGACAAAGACAAAAGCATCTTTTTTTTCCATTTTGTAAATAGGACTGACATTTAATTATAGTATCAAAAATAAAGCGAAACAAAAATGGGCTCAATTGAATCAATGCATATGCCTGTCTGTTCCTTTTTTGGTATCTCTACAAAGAACAAGTTCATCTTTTCCTACATTTTGGATCTGATAACTAAAAATGAACAAATAGTAAACAAATCATGGAGGATAGATGAATACATGGAGAACACTAAGTAAATCAGAAAAGTTACATCTCCCTATTTACATTCCACCATAAGGTTATTTACCTTCATCCCACTCTATAGAAAACATCATTTACCTGGATGACTTAAAACAACAACAGGCTGTGTGTTGAATGGGACAGTGATGCCAGGAAGTTCACTATCGAAGCAAGTCAGAATTTTGGGAAAGGCAACTCCCTGGTTAGCTGCCATGGGGCCCTGAACAAAAGTGCAGGGCAATCAAAAGACTGCTCAGACTCAAGTCCAGACTCAAGTTCCCAGGAGGAATGGAACAGACATGTGATGGCATGTGACATCTGTCTGACTGGCTGAGTGAGTTCAACAAACCGTCTTTGGGTGCCTACTATATGAACACTATTCAAGCATTATATCTGGCACTAGCAGATATAATGTGTGGATATAACAGTAAATAAGATTTGATTCCTAACTTGAGGTTAGAGGAAGACTCAGAAGTTACCATCTGAGTACTTTTTTTTGGTCTCTTGCATCCATTGCACTGATATTCAATGAGAATTGATTATGTGCTGGACTATGGGGGATTCATGAGTGTCTAAGGAATTATTCCTGTCTCAGGGAGAGGGACTAAAAAGCTATATTACAAAGCAGTGTGGGTGAGCACTCAGAGGTAAGGTTCATTAGGATCCCTAAGAATTCGGACAAGGGAATGCTTGCTCTGGCTGTTCATGGAAGACTTTTAGAGGTGGTGTGTTTAGCATGTTGAAGGATGGGTAAACGTTTAATAGATGGCAATAGTAAAAGAAAGGGAGGGAACAGAGTGGTCGAAAGCATTGAGGCAAGGAAACATGGGCATGAGGGTGGTAAGGAAAGCAAGAAACAATGGAATGGTAGGAACGAATTTTCTTAAATTAGAATTGCTACTTGTGTTGGGGAATTCGTTATCCCCTTATTCACTAGCCTGTCGGCTGAAAAGAGGATTTATAAGTTAAGGGGACATAAAACCATGTAAACTTTGGCTGAGGAAGAAGAATGTAGGAGTGACGCTGTGCAGGCAGAGGTGCCTGGAGCTGGCAGGCCAGACCAGAGGTCTGCGGCCATCCCTCTGTGGGAAGAGTGCTGGGCAGCTGTGGGCAATGAGAACATCGCAGACTGTGGAGAAGGCAGGACCTGGAAGGAAGGGATGAGAAGCTGCGAGAAGACACATGTTTCCTTCTTCACAGCTGTTTCTCAGGCTAGTCTGTTTGGCATTAGGAGGAAACTTGTGAAGTATCAAGGGTCCTTGAGGTAGCTGCTCATCAGCTATTGGAAAGAACTTAGAATTAAAATGACAGGAAATCCTGGGTCTGAGACAGTGAATTTTTGCTTAAACTCTGGTTGAGATTCTTAAAATACTCTTGGATGAGAGGCAGACTCGCTCTGATGGGAAAAGTAAGTGGATAAAGGGCAAAAAAAAAAGTATAAAGTGTATTTATATGTATGTGTGTGTTACATATTTAGAATAGTAGGAAAAAGTTAAAATAATTAGGAATAGGTAGATCACTGAACAAAAAAAAAAAAAAGTATAAAGTGTATTTATATGTATGTGTGTGTTACATATTTAGAATAGTAGGAAAAAGTTAAAATAATTAGGAAAGTTACATATTTAGAATAGTAGGAAAAAGTTAAAATAATTAGGAAAGTTACATATTTAGAATAGTAGGAAAAAGTTAAAATAATTAGGAATAGGTAGATCACTGAACTGTAGTATGCTTTATTTGATCTTGACTTTCACACTAAATAAGAGTACATTAAAGAGCCTGGTTTAACAAGATTGCCAGGGAAATGAAGCTTTCACATAATAGTAGAGAGGATATCAAATGCGTTTAGCATAACTGATAGTGTAAAAGTGAGAAAACACAAAGTATAAAGATGCTCCAAAGATGCAGGATAGTGCTTAGCAAGTCTGGATTTGAAATGAAGAGTTTAGCTCTGCTGTGTTTTACACAGTTTCTCAGCTTTGGTAATGTCAACACCCTGGTGCCCATGAGAACTGTGGGAAAAACCCTGTTTAGATTATCCCAAACCCTTTAGCTCCACAGAACAAACAACTTAAAACACTTATCTTAAGAATGATGGATCAGGAAGAGCTAGTTCAAAATACAACTACCTATCTCCTTCTTCACTACGAAAGTTGAAATTTATTTTAAATAAATATTTAAAAGTTATATTTTAAACTACTAAATGTAGTCAAAGAACAAATGGACTCACAAAAATACTCTGTCAACTGTCTTCAGTGGGTTGAATTACTATATGGTGGCCAAAGCCAATTTCTGGATGCTACTCTCTCCTTCTCTTACTCCCAGAAGTTAAGTGCTTTGGGTTTGCTCCCAGATTATCTTGTGAAATAGAAGGAATGAGAACCGTGGAAAGAAATTATCATTAAAAATCAGAATGAAGAGCAGAAGAAGTGTTTTCCATCCAAAGACAACCAAGTGGAAAAGAAATCATAAAAGTAAAACATCATTTATGTTTTAAGGGCAACTATTTTCATTACATACAGCTCATGAATTTTTGCCTTAAAATTTAATTCTTTTCTTAGAGAAAAAAAAAATAACAATGCCCTTTCTCCTTTCTAATTTTCCCCACAACCTTGCACGAAAAATGAAATTTCTTTTAAAAGGCTGGGGTTATTTTTTGAGGGTGTCTAGTGTGGCAGATGGCAGAGGTGGGGGGATAATACACCCTTAAGGACCAAGTGTTCACACGTCCACTTCCTTTGAAAACAAGGCATTTATGCCCATGGAGCTGAACGCAGAGCAGCCCTGACATGCATGCCTCTTTTTGCCATGCCAGTGATTTCCATATGTGCTGAGTCCATTCCAAGCTCAGAGGCTGGATGTGGTACCATCTCCATCACAGGGTGGCAGAGACTGTTCTGAATTAACCACCCTACCATGTGGAGGCTGCTCCTTCTGCCAGCTCACCTGGCAAGAAGCAGAACCAAGTAAAACATGCGTCTGCCTGTGAGCCTACACCTTTGCTGTCCTGTTAACAGCCTGACCTGTTTAGATGCCATTATGCTTTGGATGCCAAGGCCAGGCCAGTGAACTGAAAGGCCATTGCACCTCCTGCTTCTTGCTCCTTTCTGCCTTCACTGACTCCGGTTTTGGATAAAATCATGTCACAGTTTTATTTGTGTGTCAGGGATGGGAGGTATGATCCTATACTTTCAGGAGTTGCCTGGGAAGTGAATTCTGAGAAACAATGACGACAGTCAGAGAGTGCATTCATATTGTCCTCTTTGTGTAACTAGGTAAGGAGAAGTCAAACGCATTTGTACGCTAATCAGTGCTGTCTAGTCCTGATACTCTTAACCCCTCAGTTCTGTTTGTGCTGTGGGCTTATGCTAATTTGGCTAAGGTATTCAAAATAGTAATATTTTTCAAGAGAAAAGACAAAATACTGGGTTTGCAACTTTGGTTTGGCACTTAACCATGAGGTTGTACTTAGGGTGTTTAAGGATGTGTAATTTTTTCCCCCTGGGATTCCAAACTCCAGTACAGCAAAAACTAAGACTACTTTCTGAATACATCTGAGATTTTCCCTCCACCTGGTCACATTTTTGGCAGCATCCTTGTTAGTGAAGAGCTGGAGTTAGGACCAGGGATGCTGAAAGAACTAGAGTGTGCAGAAGAGGTCTGTAGACAGTTATGTAGTCCTGATAGTTGAGGGTAAGAGACATATATTTGTGAAGGTTTCATACCTTTGGATTTACCTTTTTGCTTACATTCAAATTTGGTGAATATGAGGGTGATGAAACTATTTTCATAAAGCGAGCCCAGCTCAAGAAGTTACACTATTTCTCCATTTAGTTTATTTACTGTGTCTGTACAAGTAACTTATTTTATTTGTTTTGATTAAACTGACTCTGAATTGCTGAAGTAAAACATAAAAAATGCATCTATTGTCTCTCCTTCTTCACTTACAAATAACATAAGCAATTCCATATAAATCTCAAAAGTGTTACCAAAATATTAGCTTCATGTCTAAATGTCTTTACATAAATCAACTTTGTTCACAGGCCCCTACCTCTCTGCAGTGTCAGCCTGAAGTGAAAAAAATAGTGTATTTTGGGCCCAACCACCTTATTTTCATGTGCTTTTTGGGGTATGTCCAAGAAATCTCTCTCTCTCACACCTAAAAAGTGAATAAGATCAGTCTTGGTAGCTAACTTGAAGTATTTGTTATCTGAAAATTAAGCACCAGGTCTGCATTAAAAATAGCCTTATAGCGTACCAATAATCACAATAGTACAGAAACAAACATCGTTTTTACAATCTAGGAACTGGAATTCTACATCATTATTATTTTAAATTATCATACTACCAATAAGAAGAGCAGCAGCTACCATTTACTGAGTACTTATTACGTGTGCAGCACTGTGCCAAGTGCTTTTATGTATTGTCTAATAAAGTCCTCACATGAAGCCATGAGGCAAGTCTATTATCTCCATTCTGTAAACGAGGAGGCCAACTTGTGCGCAGACTGACTACTTTGCCCAGCATCACTTGGTGAGCAAGTGCTGGAGCCAGGCTGAAGATGCAGGTTTCTTGGCCCTGAGCTCATGTCCTTAAGTGCTCGCTGCATCTTCCTTCCCTTTCCTAGCTCCTCTGTGGAGCAGACAGCACATCCTTGGACTGAGGAACAACAGAAGCCTAGGTTAAATGGTCCTCACTAACCTTGCCTCTTAGCTTACACCTTCCATGGGAGTTGGGTGGAAAAGAAGAGATAATGACGTGTTTAAGCCTAAAATTTAAAAAGGTGAAAAGGTACAACATAAGGGTAAACGGAAAAGGAAATAATGACAGGCAACTATATTGAGAGAGCTTTGTCTCACTCTTTCACTGTTATTTTGCAGGACCATTGGTAAAAATGGAAGAAAAAGGTATCACAATCCCTTATTGGATGATGTAACTAATTTAAGGGGAACATAGTTGATTGCCAATATAGAAACCAAACAATCTTTCAAAACATACAAGTTTTCAGAAAACACCTATGGCTTCCCACCACAAATAAAGTAAAATTCAAAGCACTGATCTGGGCTCCAAGGCTTTGCACAGTCTGTCTCTGAGTATAACTCTGTCCCCTTCCCACATCACTCTCCCCATTTCCAATCTTGTGCCATCAGTGCTGGCCTTCTGCTTTCCTCAAACATGCGGAAGCTGCCTCCAGGCCCTTGCATTTGCAATTTCCTCTGTCTGGACAACCTTTCACCAGATGCTTACATGGCCTCTCACTTCACTTAGTCTCTGCTCTAACACACCACATTAGTGAGGCCTCTTATGACCTCCCCATTTCAAATATCACTTGAGCCCCTACACACACACACTCACGCCCCATCCTGCACATGCACACTCTTATGTGTATCCATGCACACTCTAACCCATATTCCTGCACATGCACACACTCATGTACATCCGCACACACTCTCCCCCCATTCATGCACATGCACACACATGCACATCCACATACAGTCTCCCCCCATTCATGCACATGCACACACATGCACAT